GCCCCCATTTTACTCATGAGGAAACAGCTTCAGGGAAGTTTAGCAACTTTCCCAAGGTCACGTAGCCATTCTGGGTGGGGCTGAAATTCAAACCCAGGTTCATCCCACTCTGCTCTGTCCTCTTATCATATCCATCCCGTTAGTGCAGTGGTTGGGGGTGGGTTGGGGGACTATTGTGCCCTCCCAGGAGACATTTGAAAATATCTGGAGACATAACTGTAGGGGGGTGCTATTGTCATGTAGAGGAGAGAAGCCAGAGATGGCACTTGTGTTAGTTTCCCGGTGCTGCTGTAACAAATTACCACAAACAAGGTGGCTTAAAACCACGGAAATGTATCATCTAACAATTTCAGAGGCCAGAAGTCCAAAATCAAGTTTTTGGCAAGGCCACACTCCCTCTGAAGGCTTCAGGGAAGAATCCGTCCTACCTTCTGGTGGCTTCCGGCAATACTTGGCATTTCTTGACTTGCAGCCCTATCGTCCCAATCTCCATCTTCACATGGCCTTCTTCCTTGTGTCTTTGTGTGTCCTCTCTTCTTCTTTAAGGACAGCAGTCATTTGATTCAAGGCCAACCCTAAAACCAAGATGATTTCATCTCAAGATCTTTAACTAATTCCATCTGCAAAGATGCTTATTTCAAACAAGGCCACTTTCTGAGGTTCCAGGCAGACATGAATTTGGTGGGGAGGACACTATTCAACCCACAACACTGTTAAACACTCTTCCATGCTCAGGACAGCCTCCCCACAACAAAGAATGGTCTGGCCTCAAATGTTAATAATGCTGAGGTTGAGAAACTCTCTTTTAGAGGGAAGCGTTTCTTCTCTGGGAAGCAATGAGAATGTGCCTCTGCTAATCTAGACAGCAACAAACAGAAAGGGCCTCATAGCAGCTTAAAGTCCAGGGGCCACCCTCTCCCTCCGCTTTTCTGGAACCACTCCTGACAGTCTCTATCTCCAAGTGGATGCTGCCCCCTGCCTAGTGTTTTTGTGGCACCATGCGTTTTGGCTTAAGAATCACACGGTC